TGATATGATGATTGTAGGAGTCTGTCACTATACCAAGTGATAGTGATTGTAGGAGTCTGTCATTGTACCGAGTGATAATGATTGTAGGAGTCTGTCATTGTACCGAGTGATAATGATTGTAGGAGTCTGTCATTGTACCGAGTGATAATGATTGTAGGAGTCTGTGATAATGAAACAGTTCTTTACTAACCTCAAAATTAACTATAGCAGGATTAAGGAAATTGTGCCTGTGACTCAGAAAATTACATTGTTTTTATTAGGGGGATCGTGATTAACTAAACAAGAAAGTAAAGGAAAGTAATGAGATGTGAAGAACCTTCATTAGTATTGGTTTCTAAATACTGTTGTGTGTTTATTTGACAAGCTAGTAAATACAAACAGCTGTTAGTCTCTATCCAGCGTCTTGAAAAATTTAAAAAGATGCCAGTTAGATTAGTCTTGTGACGTTATTTGATTAACGATCCACTAGTTTCGAGTTAATTGATACCAAAAATGAAACTAAACAATAGCAGACTAGTTGTTTTTATGGTAATTTATACCCAACTTATTATATTGATATTATACAGACTTGAACATATATAGATAACTTGAATAGGTAAGGATGAAAACTTTATTACAAGTTTAACGTAGAACCTGATGATGGTAAAATATTGTTTTTATGCTAAACTTGTAATACAGTTTTCTTCATTACCTATTCAAACTTTGTAGTTAGGATTGGATCCAGGTTAATGTCTACCCAGTATAAAACATCAAATGCAACACAGATATGTGTGAAATATAAAGTGACAGGTATTATTATCCATAAGATCAGTACTAAACATGTTATAGTAGCATCATTACAGGGTGTTGACAGACTTGTGTTTTGTAGACGAGCATCATTACAGGGTGTTGACAGGTATTATTATCCATAAGATCAGTACTAAACATGTTATAGTAGCATCATTACAGGGTGTTGACAGACTTGTGGACGAGCATCATTACAGGGTGTTGACAGGTATTATTATCCATAAGATTAGTACTAAACACGTTATAGTAGCATCATTACAGAGTGTTGACAGACTTGTGTTTTGTAGACGAGCATCATTACAGGGTGTTGACAGGCTTGTGTTTTGTAGACGAGCATCATTACAGGGTGTTGACAGACTTGTGTTTTGTAGACAAGCATCATTACAGGGTGTTGACAGACTTGTGTTTTGTAGACAAGCATCATTACAGGGTGTTAATAGACTTGTGTTTTGTAGACAAGCATCATTACAGGGTGTTGACAGACTTGTGTTTTGTAGACAAGCATCATTACAGGGTGTTAACAGACTTGTGTTTTGTAGACAAGCATCATTACAGGGTGTTAACAGACTTGTGTTTTGTAGACAAGCATCATTACAGGCAATGTTGGACAGATTAATGGAACAAAATAACTTATTAATCATTTCTGCAGAATAAGTAATATAGTGATCGTACATATTAGTTAATAAATAGAAATAGGAAGTTATGTTACTCATTATATTTGTCTCGTATGTCCTGAAAAACAGCTGTAATATTCCTTACTATTTTCAACTACACATTGGTAAATTTATTTATCAATCTCTTTTTTTACACACTCTATGTAACCAATTAATCTAATCTCAGAGTCTGCATGCACGTAATTAGCCAGATAAAAATGAAACAAAGGTTTCAGTGCCGACGAAGCTGCTTTTTTCTCTTATTTGTCTTCGTAGTTACTCAAAGAAAAATAATATAGTTGAGGTACTTTATTTGTTTAGGATTTAGAAATTGAAACTTGGTTTTAAAAGAAGAAAAAGCATACTAATGTAGGTGTAGAACAGATAAAAGGAGAATTTTTTGTGTGTATGTATTGAAAGTAACTAATGTTATTACTCCCATTAAAAATGTAATCTCATATTACATCATTTATGACCAAACTATTATCATTACATTAACGAGTTACTTAAGTAACTGATTACACCTGTATTTTTATGTTGACAACTGTCATTAACAGGGTATTGACAGACTTATGTTCTTTGGACACATTTACTTCTTGTGTGAAGTAGGTTTTCACTTAAGTTTAAAATATTACAAGCTACAATTGATTTTCTCAGTTTTTAAGGTTTTCAACAAATGTTAATGTGTTCGTTTTAATTAGTTATATTTTCTCATTTTAACTTATGCGTTATTATTAGGGAGGATATAATTGTATAAAAAGTATTTTATGAGCATTATTTATTAGAACGAATTTAGAAATAGTTTGAATTTAAATTTGTAAACTTACAATTAAGTAATATCACTTTTAAAAACGTTTTTTTATAACTCAAATACAAAAACGTCTACTTGCAATATTATTTTGTCAAAATAACTATATCTTTAATTACAATTGACTTTTTCAAAGAATTTCAGGCATATGTCATTAATGAAATAAAATATATACAAAGAAACTTTGAGGGAAAAAAACTGTCATCTTCTCCTTTGAATTTTAACACTAACATTAAAGTAATTAAAAACAATCAATGGTATTTGAATATAAGCCACTTCTTCTTTGACATGTGGTAGTAACTAACTGAAGGTTTCAGTTTTGATTTCTACATCAAGGTATTTGAATATAAGCCACTTCTTCTTTGACATGTGGTGACTAACTGAAGGTTTTCAGTTTTGATTTAGTTTCTATCTGTGTTTCAAAATTCATTTTGCTCTCAAATCATGAACATTTTCTAAAACATTTTGAAAGTCGTATGTAATAAGTGTCATCATATGAGGTAAATCACTTATTACACATTTTTATAATTGTCTTTCTGATTAAAATGAACACGTTATCTTTCTTCAGGATATTTTTTTTTCTGTTCTTCTTTCTTTTTCCGGGAGAGCTACAAATTAAAAAATTTATACAGAAAGGTTTTGTGGGCTGCGAGTTAGCTGGAACTATAATGTTCACCTGTTTTTGGTACAGTTATTATTCATCAAGGTTATAAGGAATAGATAAAAGCATAATATAAACCATTTTATTCACGGGAGATTTTTGATATAGAAGACAAAATCTTTTTCTACAATTGACATTTTATGATAACTTTAGCAACGGAATTTGTAGAATGCCCAAACTTTCCCATATAAATAATTCAATTACGTTTGAAGTATGCAACTCGTTTCAGTAAAAATTTTTAGATTATTGATCAACAAATTAACACTGATTCACTGTTAACAGAGTAATAAACCATAAAAAAAAATCAAAATATCAATCATTATTAAGTAAGTTTGTGTTTTTTGTTCCACTTCCAGGAGATGATCTTAAGTAAAACTGTGATATTTATGTGAAATATTTTAATGTGTTTTCAAAACAGGAAAAAAAAAATAAACTTTATGATCAGAGCATTTTTATTTACAAAAACTGTTTCTGTAATCCTGTAAATTTTTTTTTGTTTATCTTGTTAAGTATGTAGCTGTGACTGGGTCATTGCATATTTGAAAAATATTTTTTTTTATACGAATGTAATGCTTTAAGCAAAATTTGCACATTACTGCCCGATGACAGGAATTAAAGTTAACGTTTTATTGTGTTTGAAATCACCACATAACAGATGTTTAACAATTCCTGAAATGTTTGCATTTACTACTTGTTTTTCCAGATCTTCTCAGATTAAAACTATAAAATTATACAGCAAGGTCAGCATTTTGTTTATATGTAAAATAATCGTAATAACACACTAGACTGCTGTTTGGGTAGTAGCTTTTTTTTATTGTTCATTGTTTTTAGCATATCAATAAATAATATTGTTCGGGAGGAAGACATTACACAGCGAGATCTCACGACTGCTAGCCTCATTTGGATTATTCGTAAATTTGTCGAAATATACATTGCAACCATTTTCTAAATTTTTTCCACGCATAAATTTACCAAGAAATAAAAATGATATTGTCAAATTTTTACTTTTGAGCATGTACTAACAGCTTGTTCTAATATTAAACTAATGTTTATTATAATGTAACCAAAGACCAATAAATTACTGTTAAAGACTAGTTTGTGGTGTTTCTACAGAATTGTTTGGACATTAAGGACAGAACTGGCAGAACAGTCATTGCTTATAAATTAACATGTACAGTTTAATACATAAGACATGCATGTTCCACATAACATGGGTTTCCTTTGGTTGTTTTTTTTTTATCACGTTGTTACTAGCATTCTTGTCTTAGCTAATTTACATAATTATACAACGTTGTAATGTTGGGACAAAGTTTACGAAATTATCTACCTTTCAAATTTGCTCATTACTCTATTATGTGTGAACTTTTGTTAAGTATATCAGTTATTCATTCAGAACACTTTTGCTATTTTGTACATCCACGTAAATTTGAAAACTTAAAAGCAATGAAACACTTGAATCTGTACAATATAAGCAATTTTCAATTCTCAAATACATAAACTGAAGGATTTCGTATTATACACACACACACACACACACACTAATACCAAAAATCAACACTTTAAAAAATGTTTTAGACAAGATTTTGTAAACAAATTAAAAGTTTACTGTATAAATGTAATGCGATAATTTTACTATTTTAAAAACAAATGGACAAGTACCTTATCAAGATCGTATGGATTCTTCTATATGAATTATCACGAAGATGATTAAAATGTTACAGAATAAACCTTGTGATTGTTGTATTTACCTGACTTTAGAAATGAAGTCAGGTTTGACGCTGTTTTACTTTATGTATAATGGTTTTCTATTGGACCAACCATTTCATGTTACATACCAGTTTGGCCCTTCGAAACGGGGCTTAATTTTGGGCTGGTTCACAACCTGAAAGCTTTTCTGTAAAGAAATTTATATGTTCAGTAGAAACTGTTTGTTGGGAAAATTTGGATTTCTGGTAGCACTTTTGAATAACAGTCCCCATAAATATATACACACAGTCATTAAAAAAACATCTAGTAGAGAAACAGTTAGTTAACTGTAGTCACAAAATCTAGCCTAAAAATACAATACCAGCACTGAATAAGGAACATTTCAAATACTATGGTTACTGGAATGTACGCAATGCAAAAAAAAAAGGAAAGTGATTCGAGTTTCGGACCACCAGTATACAAAGCAAGTATCAAAAAATAAAGAATATGAAAATAGATATTTAGTTTTTGAATATGAAGCATAAGCAACCAAGTATACGATCAAATTTATCCAAAACTATCTCAATGACTAAAAATACCTTTATTTCATATATATCGGTTTATTCTATATTTATTTATATTCTAATTAAATCAAGTAAAGCTAAATTGACTAAAAGGTTTTAATGTATTGCAGGAATGTTCTCATTCCTTTCTATGTTAACACCGAAATGACGATTAAAGACTTTCGCAACAGCTGAACAAATTTATTTTTGTCATTGTTCTAACATATTACTTCAGTATTTTTATAAAAGTAAGGAAACATTTTTTTCGACATCTAAATCTGCGGGAGAACTAACTAGTTCGACAATGTTAGGAAAACCATCCACAACTTACGATCACAATATCGGAAGAAGAAAAAAAAAAAGCTAAAGTTTACAAACTGTTCCCAACCTGCAGAAATCTCAATTTTAACACTTAAACTTGCAAGATCAGTAATAAGGATAAAATATTTAATTACACAAGTTAACAAATATAGAAATAATATTAAGGTGAAACAAACCAAACTATAGTGAACCATTAGTAAATTTCAAACTAAGAAAACTGACAAGCAAGAGTTAAATAAAGCTCCTTAAATTCTAACAACGTAATAGTTAAATGTTACTGTTAAATAAAGCTCCTTAAAGTCTAACAATGTAATAGTTAAACTTTACTGTTAAATAAAGCACCTTAAATTCTAACAATGTAATGGTTAAACTTTACTGTTAAATAAAGCTCCTTAAAGTCTAACAAAACAGTAAAATTTTACTATTACGTTGTTAGACTTTCAGCAGCTTTATTTAACAGTAAAATTTAACTATTACATTGTTAGAATTTAAGGAGCTTTATTTAACAGTAAAGTTTAACCATTACATTGTTAGAATTTAAGGTGCTTTATTTAACAGTAAAGTTTAACTATTACAAAATAAAGCTGCTTAAAGTCTAACAACGTAATAGTAAAATTTTACTGCTTATTATATACTCATCACTCACTGTACGCAAACTTTACAGCCTCTTACTATTAATAAGTTACTTTAATAAGATCTTTGCATCTGCTAAAATGAATTATTTACACAAATAATAACTTAAGATCTTGCTTGTGTTTCAGGTCCAGCTTCCACATCTTTTTGTTCTTCATTATTTCGAATAAGGTTAGACATGCTTGACGACTTAGCTATCATCTCCTCTTTGCTAGCCCTATAAAGAAATGTTGTTATTTAAATCTAAAACCAATGTGCGAATTGTTTACACGTATACGTTAAGACCTCTTTAAAGTAAATAATTTCTAATTTAACTTGACAACCTGTTTTTGCCTCACATTTATTAACCTAATACAATTACAATCTTGTGTAAAACATTACAAGAATTATACCTGGATAAATAAACACATGCAAGCCAAACGGCCAAGACTACCTAAAATATTAATAACATTTCCTGTATTACATGACTTTTGCATAGCATTGTAAATGAAAAACTATAAACATTTTTTAGAAATTATACATGAATGATTTTTACAGAAAATTTCAGAAAAATGCAACATAGGTAAAGCTTATGGTACTAATATTTAATGAAAATCGTACAGGTAAAAATGTAATTTTCATAAAAATACATCGTAATATTAAATACAAAGAAAATTTAAATTAATGGATAAAAACTCTGTCCAATTTTCAAATAAGAAACTGAAATGCAAATTTCAGAAAGTGCGCTTATCAGATGTCAATACAACTATTACTCAATCATTTTTTAGGTTAAATTATACACTCCTCAGACTTTTATGGTGTTTAATTAAGATGCAGGATTGATATCAGTCCTGTTCTTTGTACACAATATGTGCTATATGAAACCTAGTCTCATTTTTTCGATTTACCCTTGTCCAGGGTTACTAACGAGGGGGAGGGACTGGTATAACTCAATGGTAAGTAGTACATCGAATAACAGATTGGGCTTTAAATTTATTTCTTTAATCTAGAGAAAAGTTCAAGTGTTCACAGTTTCATAAAAATAGGATCATTTGTTGAGACGATGTTTACATAATAGAAGATCAGCTTTTTTTAATTAGAAGTTAACTACTACTCAAAATTCAAGAAACTTCATTATCTATGTGCTTTTAGGTCTACTTGCTGGAAGGATTCAGGTGGTCAGGTTTCTTAAAAGTTTTTTTTTTTAAGCATTGATAATTAGGATGAGAGGAAGAAACCTAAGATGATACATTGGTCCATAACTATAGTGAAAACTTAACCTTATAATTTTCTTTTATAATTCAACATTCAAGCCTAATCAAAGTAAAAAATATATATATATGATTTTGATAAAAATGATCATCAATTTCAACCAAATTTTTAAGATTTTGTTTAAATGTTAACTCTTCACTGTGAACAACGCTGCATTTTACAATACACAGAATATATTAATGTCAACTGATCCTGTTTCATTCAGGCACATACAAGCAGTATGTAATTAAGTTGTTATTCAAAAAACATTGATATTTGAAAACGTTTGACCATGAAACTTGTTCAGTAATGTAGTTGTTATCCAGTTAATTAAGACAACTCTGTTGATTTTGTTATTAATGCAAAAAAGGAATCATTTTTACTGATATTTAAGACATTAGGTCATTCCTCTAATCTATAAAAGACTTACTTTTAACGTAACTGCAGTTTTAATTTGTCTCTTCTTCTATACTTTTAAGTTTGTGCCAAACTCTAACAACTCATCAAGTGTTTCTTCTCGTTTCATTGGACTTTCGTATATCCTTTGTTATGTTGTGAACTTCCTTCCATTAACTAATTCAGAAGCATTCCTTTATTATGCATCAATTCCTTAATTGATTTGTCTGTTGCCAATTCCCAAACTTAATTCAATTCAACTCTTTTTAAAAGCAACTAGTTTTAATTTAGCTTCTCAGATTCGTTTTTTTTTCTTCCTGTGTTTTCATTTGAATTATTTTCATTCTCTGAATTCTCCAATATTCCCCGATTCATAATTTTATTCCCGTTGTTTGTTGCCGTTTCCCAAACGTAATTCAATTCAACTTTTTTTAATTCTCAGATTTGTATTTTTCTTCCCATGTTTGTGTTGAAAAAAGAGCATTTGACAGAAAACCTCCACACTCAGTGAGTGGGAATTATCAAAAATATGATATTTTTCTATAGACCTTCAGGAAGCAGAATTATGGGGCTTAAGGGCAAAAAAATTGGGCAAAATTGTTTTGAATCAAATCTAAAAAATAATACCCGTACAAAGTTTCATATTCTTTCCTCTTGGAGTTATGGTGGTCATACACACACAGGTTCTTTTATTATTAAAGATTATGAAGCATGCATTCATTTCTTTACTCTAAATACAAGTAATGCATTAGACGTAAATATTTAAGCAGTTTTTATTAATATTATTAGCTCGTGTATATAGCATCATCAAGTGATGAAACTAGCGTGGTCCTTCAGCTATGACCTTGAATATGTTACGTTATTTACTTGTTCTGATCCTGAAACAGATATAGTCATCAGAGAAATACAACTGTCACAAATACAGTAAGGTTATCCAGTATTTGGAATTATGGTGAGTACATGTTTAAGTTTTATAAAATTGTTTCTGGTTTCGGTTTTCGAAATATGGCCACGTTAACCTAATAATAATACGTACAGTGACCAACAAATTCACGTTCTACTTTTACATTACTTGCTTATCAATAGCCCAAAAACATTCCTGTATTATGATCATTGTTATGGAGTGTGGAAAAGAAACATCCTGTATTAAAGTCATTGTTATGAAGAGTGGACAGAGAAAATCCTGTATTATGGTCTTCATTATATGTTGTGGACAAAAAAACACCTGCTTGTGAACTATTTGTGACAACACATATACCTAAATCTTCTCAAGCTGACCTACGATTCCATGCTTCACTTTTACTTGACCTTTTGCTATCCAGAAAAGTTCAGTGTTAAAGTTATGCAGTGTGAAAGGACTGCCAATAATACTTTAATTACATTACAGTATTATATCTATAGCCCTGACAATACGAGAAACTTTTCTAATAAATAATTCTTATTGTGTTTTCTAAGAGCCCATTATAATTAAAGTTTCCACATACCAGACAAAGAACACCTGATTTATACAAGTGTTACAACTGGAAAGAGTTTTTGAATATAACCTCACTATTGGAAAATGCTGAAAACTACAAGATGTCAACAATACAGAGCTTAAAAATATAACAAAATAAAAACCTGAACAAAAAACTTACTTTTTGCCCAATGACATAATTCCATACAGGCTACCAGTAACAAAAATTAGCCCTGATCCAAAGAAGGTAGAGAGTCCGGTACAAATTATTACAATGAACGACGATAAACTAATGGGGGAAAATAAAGAGTTAATAACTTATAGGATGAACAGACACCAAAAGTTTCCACCACGTGAAAAAAAAAAAACAGTGTTACTGCCATTAGACAGACGACAATTTTAATATATAACAAATTCTTCAAGCTAACCAAGCTGAAACTATTTTTCAACAAATAGTAACAACATAATAATGGTTGGAGATGGCTTGAATGGGTAATGAAGAAAAACTTATATTAAAGTTTTTCTTCATTACCCATTCAAGCCGTTATCAGTCTCAAAGTGGGTTCCTCTTCGTTGAAATAGTAACAACTTTATGTGTAAGACACGAAACACTTTATTTTAAAAAACAGAAGCACAATATAAATGTTGATTCTTTGTCTTAAATCACATGTACCATTCATGATGCAAAAGACTTACATGACATACAGCAATGCCTTATGCCAATACGGTTTCCTCTCGAAGTAATTGTGTGGAGTTTGAGCAAAGTCCAAAAAAGCACAAAAACAAGGTGCTTCAATTAATGCCACCACAACACCCAGCAACCTAATATAAAGGGTAGATACATAAAAAAAAAAGAGAACTCTTTCATTCTAGCCAACTGCACATATTTAATTATCATTTTCAACTGTTAATATCTCAAACTTATGTTTTAGTCAACTAAACACATTTAATTATCATTTTCAATTGTTCATATATTAAACTTATGTTCTAGTCAACTGCACAGATTTAATTATCATTTTCAACTGTTAGTATCTCAAACTTATGTTTTAGTCAACTAAACACATTGAATTATCATTTTCAACTGTTAATATCTCATACTTATGTTCTAGTCAACTAAACAGATTTAATTATCATTTTCAATTGTTCATATATTAAACTTATGTTCTAGTCAACTAAACACAGATTTAATTACATTTTCAATTGTTCATATATTAAACTTATGTTCTGGTCAACTGCACAGATTTAATTATCATTTTCAACTGTTAATATCTCATACTTATGTTCTAGTCAACTAAACACATTTAATTATCATTTTCAACTGTTCAAATTTCAAACTTTGGAATCATAGTTGAAAGTTCATTATAAGAAAAACATTTCTTTCACATATTTTATATACATATAGGAACTTTTTTAGATGTGAACAGATGTACAACTATGGAGTTTTGGAGGTAAAAGGAATGAAATACAATGTAAATCAACAAAACAACAATAAATACATTTCATATCTCTGAACTTTAAATTCTTTTTGAATACGAGTAAATTTATAACTAAAAACCATTCGTCCATAACTTATAAAAGACCACAAAGAAAAATGTATACACTAGACTTCACAACATTTTCAACACTTTTATTAATCTAAACAGCCTAAAAGCACGGTAATATTTTAGAATTCTAGTAAAAGATTGCAATAGACTTACATTTGTAATATCCCCGCCATGAGACATCGTGGGGTAACGGTAATACATGCCCAAGCACCGGTTCCTATGGCCACTATAATATGATTAAATGAAGAGTGTAATAGAAACATCTAAAAATTAAAATCTTTGCAAATTTATTCCTACAAATTACTAGGACATCTCATTTTCTAATTTGTGGACTTAAAATATTTAAATTCTTCCTCTATAATGATGACAAAAAACAAACACCATTTCTAAAAACTAACTGAATGTTTTTCCAATCAACCATCTCCTGAAATCCTTATTTTGTGCAAAAACGAATGAAATAATGGTGCTATACGTGTAGTTTAAATCAAGAAAGCTGAATTCTTAAATATATTCTTATTGATCTGCCATTCAAGTGTTCTGTATCATTTTGTTAATTTTAAAACTCTTAGCAGTGAGCACAGCTGTTATCTTGAAATCAACCGGGCACAATTTTCAGACAATAAGTGTTAGCAAAAAATTTGGAATATATATAAGTGCATATACTTTCAATGGTTTGGTGTTTATTTCCTTTCTTCACCAAATCATGAACTTCAGTGAAGAAAAGATGATGCAGAGGCCTAATTCTTTGATTCACTCTTCCTGCTGCAACAGACTAGTTTCACTGAATTTGCAGCTCTGCAGTGCAGTTTGGAAAAGAGAAGTAAATAAATAAAGTAGGCCTAATATAGTGGCGGAATGACGAAAGCAGTTTGTTTGGTTTAAAAGTGTAGTCATTTACTTAACACTAATAACCTAATAATGCTTGGAAACTGCTTGAATGTGTAATGAAGAAAAACTTTACTTGATGATGACAAAACCTTGTCGAAACGTTGTACATTTGCTGTTATGTTAAACTTATATCATAGTTTTTCTTCATAATGAATGATTAATTGTGACTGTATGATGTCACATTATCCAACATCTAAAGTATTGTTACAACAGCAGAAGTCACGTGATGCTAGTAACACGTCATGAGCTTCCAGAAAATTCATGTCCCTTCGTGAAGCCT